CTGGCCCCACCCAGGGATCTGATTTAGTAAGTCCGGGTGGAGCTTGAAATCCTGGTGGCATAGTGGTTAAGAGCAATGACTGCTAACCAAAAGGTTGGCAATTTGAATCCACCAGCCGCTCCTTGGAAACCCTATGGAGCAGTTCTACTCTGTCCTGTAGGATTGCTATGAGTCAGAATCAACTCGATGGCAATGGGTTTCGATTTTTTTTTTTGGTTGGGGTGGAGCTTGGGCCTCTTTATCTTCACAACAATGAAAAAAAAACCTCCAGGTGATTCTGATGTTGAGTCAGCATGGGAACAACTGTTCTGGAAATATGGTTGAGTCATTCCAATCCATTCATGCCCTTACATATCCCAAAGTTTGGGTGTTGGATTGTAGGATGCTGAGTTCCCTGGAGACCCATGTTAGGCCAAACAGCTATTCCAAGCCACCAACTCTTGGAAGAAGTTTCTGAAAGTGCAGAGTCTGTGGTTTAACAAAGTATTTTTCAAATTCTCGTCATGCCTATGCCACCTTTCTCATATTTTGCCATCCTCACGTCCCGTTTGTATCATTTTTTGTTGTTGTTGTTAGTTGGTGTCACGTCATTTCAGAACATTTACTCTGTATTTTTCTTTAAATAGATTGATCTTTCAAACTTAACTAAATGTATTTAAACTTTAAGTTGCTACCATGATGGACAACAGGCTTTTCACTAAAATAGAAAGTAACCCTAATAAGGTCATGGAAGCTCCACAGACACATCCAAACTTCCCGAGGGACCATATTGCTGGGCGGAGGGCTGTGGGGACCACGGTCTCTGCGAACATCTAGCTCAATTGGCATGACATAGTTTATAAAGAAAATGTTCTACACGCTACCACGGTGAGTAGTGTCTGGGGTCTTAAAGCCTGTGAGCAGCCATCTAAGATACTCCACTGGTCTCACCCCTTCGGGAGCAAGGGAGAAGGAAAAAAAACAAGATACAAGGGAAAGATTAGTCCAGAGGACTAATGGACCACAGCTACCATGGCCTCCACCAGACTGAGTCCAGTACAACTAGATGGTGCCTGGCTACCATCACTGACTGCTCTGACAGGGATCACAACAGAGGGTCCCAGACAGAGCTGGAGAAGAATGTAGAACAAAATTCTAACTCACCAAGAAAGATCAGACTTACTGGCCTGACAGAGACTGGAGAAACCCTGAGAGAATGGCCCCCCAACACCCTTTTAGCTCAGTAATGAAGTCACTCTCGAGGTTCATCCTTCAGCCAAAGATTAGACAGGCCCATAAAACAAAATGAGACTAATGGGGCACAACAGCCCAGGGACAAGGACTAGAGGGCAGGAGGGGACAGGAAAGCTGGTAATAGGGAATCCAAGGTCGAGAAGGAAGAGTGTTGACGTGTTGCAGGGTTGTTAAACCAATGTCATAAAACAATATGTGTACTAACTGTTTAATGAGAAACTATTTGTTCTGTAAACCTTCGTTGAAAGTACAATAAAACAATCATAAAAAAATGAAAGTAACCCTAGAGCAAATACAATAAAAACAAACCATTTTTGGAAAGTCTAGTTAGATACCATTGCCGCTTCTAAGTTTCTGAGCCTGAGTTCTGAGGTTGCTTGGTTGACAAACGGGAGTATCAAGTGTTAAGCGTTAATGACACAGTAGCACCAAACTGAGACGTTCTCAAATTGGAAAGAAAACAAAAATCGAAAAGGAATAACTTTCTCACTATATGATTCAATATTATTTAATGTCTGCACCCCCGAAGTGCATCCGGGTACCACTGTGTCATGCGTCCCACTGGTACAGCCAAAACCGCCTTTGTTGACAACCAAGCTAAATAGTCTAGGTTAGTAGCAGTAGGAAAAGAATTCAAAGTAATGAAAGCACAGTCCAGAAGTGTGTGTTCTAGAATGTACTGGTAGGCAGCTAAAAGGTAGGTATTGTAGAAGGTATTGTAAATCCACCTATTATATAACCAGCTGTTGAGGAAGAGGAAGATGGGGAGGTAAGGAGGAGTGAAGAAGGCTAGAGAGAGCTGGGGGAATTCTACAGCCCAGAGTCAACTACACCTGCCTGTTTCCCTCCTAGTTCTCTCCAAGGCTGGATGCAGTTCCCAGTTTCCTCCTTTCTTAATTCCCAGTCATCATAACAGAAACTCTTTGAAGGCATGGATCCAACCTTGCACACTCCAGCATCCCCGGTACTTAGGGCAGTGCCTTGTACCCCTGAGGAATGAACACAGTAGATACTTGTTAAATGATTGGCTGAATGCAACGCGAACACCTTCAATGTGCATGTGGCTCTGATAGAACGTGATAGGTTCGTGGTGAACTACCTGTATTCTCAGTCTTCTTTCTGTTCAGACCTTAAGTCCACACCTTGTGATCCTACAACTGTGGACAGCAAGTCTGTGGGTTTCTACTCAATAGGTTATGGTCCCTTGCACAGCGCTCCATAAAGGCATGCTGGATAGTTAGGATTAATACCCTTTTTCTGCCACTGCCAACTATTACGCTGGGTTTTCTCCGCCTCAGTTGCCTAAGGACTAGGCTGGGATGGGGTGGGGTTGATTGTGGGTGGAGACTGCTTGGGTGATTTAGGGCAGATAAGTTAACAACTTGTACCACACACATGAGAAGGAGAAATGAGCACTGGCTCCTGCGTGGAGCTGATGTTAAAAATGATTACACAGCGTTTTGCAAACAGTGACAACAACATGCTGTGACTGATGAGTAGGATGGAGAAAGGTAAGTTTCCTAGACAAAAGAACTGTTAAGAAAAATATTTGTGGAACTAGTGATACCTGCTAAAGGCAGCAGGCGGGTGGGTTGTGGGTGGGAGGATCCCGTATCACACCAGACAGGCCTCACTAGCCGTAGGTGCATGGGCAATGGGGTAGAGAGGAGCGGGCACAATGAACCCCGCCACAAAGATCACAGTGACAGTGGCAACCCTTGAGCCCTTAAACCATCTTGATTTCTACACGTGAGTTGGCTTTACAGTTAGTAACATTAGATATGCAGGCTTCCCAAAGAACAACAGCTTTTTTGGCAGGGGTTCTTGAACTGGGCCTTTACTTGTGGAGGTGGGGGTTGCTTGTTCAAAATGCAGATTCCTAAACTCTCATCCAGAAGTCTCTGACTTAGGAGATCTGGAGCAGCTCTTCTCGATCAGAGGTGACTTTACTGCCCAAAGTCTAGAGACATTGTTGGTTGTCACAACTGGGTCGGGGGCATGCTACTGGCATCTAGTGGGTAGAGGCCAGGGATGCTGTGAAACATCCTACAATGCACGGGACAGCCCCCACAGCAAAGAATTATCCCACCTGAAATGTTAATAGTGCCACAATTAGGGAACTTAGTTCTAGAGTAGGGCCAGAAATGTGCATCTGAACAAGGGCCTCCGGTGCAGAAAGCAGACTCTCTTACTTGAGTGAGTTAGACAGCATTCACCTTTTTATTATAAAAGTCTCACTATCACAGTTCCCTTTTGCTTAACTCTTTCTCCATATGTATTGTTATTGAGTACTGTCGACTCGATTCCAACTCATAGCGACTCCATGGGACAGAGTGCACCCGCTCCATAGGCTTTTTATAGGTGATAATCTTTACCATAGCAGACTGCCAGGTCTTTTCTCCTGCAGAGGTGCTAGGTGGGTTCGAACTGCCAACTGTTGTACCACCAGGGCTCCTTTCTCTGCATTCAGGGCTTAGCTTTGACTTGACTCCCCCACAAAGCTTTGCCTGGTCACTGTCCTCCCTCCCGGGTAATTGCCCCTCCCGGGTGCAACTCCTGGTCTCCCCCACTGTATGGAGAGCTCCTTGAGGAGGGGTCCAGGTTCATCCTAGCCACAAGTGTGTCCCCAGCCCCTCAAAGGGCACCGAACTCATAGCTGGGGCTCAGTGATCACAGGCTGGCTTGGATCTGGCTCAGCTCAGATGACATCTCCTGTATGGACTCTAGAGCTGCACGTCTTCCAGCCACTGTCACAGCACTCTGTTTTAACATTTCCATGGAGCTGTTTACTCTGAAATTATCTTGTTTACTTGTTAGCTTACTTGTCATTTATCCAATAAATATTTTACTGGGCACCTACTATATTCCTTGCCCATTGACTTCATTGGAGATAGAATAGTGAACAAAAGAGGTAAAAATCCCTTCTCCCCAGTGAAGTGTATATTCTAGAAGAGGAACTCCTACAATAAACAAACAAAACTGTATAAAATAGCTGTGACACTGATAAGCACAGTGGAGAAAGGTAAGGTAGACTTCTGGGACAAGGTGACATTTAAGCAAAAACTGGGTATCTCCTCCCCTATTAGAAGATACTTGCCAGGAGGGCCAGGATCTTGCCTTTGTATCTCTCTGCTCTGTCTCCAGAAGAGGCACATAGTAGGTGCTCAACAAATAATGTTTAAACAAAAGGAAAAGAATATGTAATTAAACAATCAAGGAGGATGGATGGATGACCACTGACCGATTAGTGAGAAGATGGGGAGGGACAAGGGCTTTAAATTTAAGGGAGATAGGGGCATTCTTTGTGGTGAGGTGAGCTCAGGCTAAGAGACTTGGAGGATGGAGGTCATGGCTGGATGAAGTCCCCGCCCCAAGCAAAGCCAAGTTCTCCCTCTCCTAACATTGTTCAGGGTCCCTGCTGGTCAGCTAACCTGGCCCCCTGCGTCTCCCTTCCCAGTGTCCGAGTTCAGCCATTACCTTTCTCCCTTTCTCTCCTCCCGCCCCTAGGCCAGCCCTCCTCCCCCAGGGGTGTCCCCGCGACTGGTGGGCGCGCCCTCGGCCCGGGCCCGCCGGGTCCCCCGCCCCCAGCCCCTGTCCCCGGCGGGACGCTGTCCCTTTAATAGCCTCCCGCTGCCGCGCGCTCTGCGGCTGGGGAGTAAATTTCTCCCCGTCGTCAGGTCGCGGGCAGAGGAGGAGGAGGAGGAGTTTGTTAATGTTCAGTTTGTTCAGCGGGATCGATGTTTGCTGGCATCGCCTCGCCCTGTCTTGTGTGTGTGCGCGAGAGTGTGTGTGTGTGTGTGTGTGTGTGTGTGCGCGTGTGTGTGTACGTGGGGGGTGTGAGTGTGTGTGTGTGGAAGCGAGAGTGCGTGCGTGTGTGTGTGTGTGTGCGTGTGTCTGTGTGTGTGTGCGTGTGTGTGTGTGAGTGAGTGAGTGAATTCCAGATTTTCTGTCTTTCCAAAACCCGCTCCTGTCCTCTCGCATATCACTCACAGACGCGGATCTGACAGCAGCCACCAGCCTACGGTGATCTCTCTCTCCCCCCTGCGCGAATCCGCCATAGAGATCGGCGAGGAGGAGGAGGAGGAGGAAGAGGAGCAGAAGGAGGTGGAGGAGGAGGTAGTGGAGGAGGAGGAGGAGGGAAAGAGGAGAAGGAAGAAGAGGAAGAAAAAGAAGAAACCCACTACCTTCCCAGGATTGCTTTTTTTCCTTATCTTTACGCGCGCGTGTGCGTGCGGCGCGTGTGCGTCCCTCGTCCCTTCCATCTGAACCCGGTCTTGGATGTTTAATAAAGAAATCAAGTGTCTCCACAGTCACCACAAAAAAATCAAAAATTCCAAAAACAAAAAACAAAAAGAGAGAGAGGAAAAAAAAATCCAAAACAAACAAACAAGGCAGAGCCAACCTCTACTTCCAACCAGCCGGCACCAGGCACCGGTATCTGCCACCCAGAGAGGGGGGTCTCTGGCCCGTGGTGGAGGAGTTGCAGGGGGGATCGTCAGGGGGACAGAGGCCGAGTGACGCCCCAGGAGCCACCAGGCAAGAGGCGGAGGAGCCCCAGAGAGGCGAGAGAGACAGCGGGCCCCCGCGCGCGACTCGGGGCTGGGGCGCCAGAAGTGGGACTGGAGCGAAGTAGAGCGATGCCAAGGAGAAAACAGCAGGCACCCAAGCGGGCGGCAGGTAAGAGAAACGGCTCGGCTCCGGGCTGCCCAGCCCGAGCTGCCCTGCGCGCCAAGCTCCGCGCCCGCCCTCCTGGCCCCTAGGTCCGCCAGGACGCCACCCCTTAAGCTTTCGGGGCAGTTGGCCCCGGGTGGCCCTCTCTGCCCCGCTACTAACCCCATCCTCTCTCGCCTTCTCTGATCTCCTCTTTCCAGGATCCGGTTGGGTGGGGGGGAGCTATCCCACCAAGCTTTCCCTCCTTCAACTTTTTTTCCTCCACCCTCTACCCCACCCCTAACTTTCTCCTAGTCTGTTTCTTGCCTCGCGGGCCAAACTTGGGTTGAGGACTTGGGGTGCGCGGGGTGGGGAGACAGCCCCTCAGCCCCCGCATCCCGCCGCGTGGTCACTGTCAGTGGCTTCTGGCTTCCGGGGTCAGCGTCTCCTCTCGCTCGGTTTGGGGCGCTCAAGTGTGAGTCTCGTCCAAGCCTCAGGCTGCAGGCTGGCTTTGAGGCAAGCACTAGGGGTTTAGCTTTGATCGCCAAGGTGGAAAAATCACCCCAGGAAAAGCGGATGTACCTTTGAATATGCTTTCTGGAAGGATCGCATTCGGAAATCTAACCAACACTCTCCCATCCCTTAAAAAAGAAAGAAAGAAATGCCCCACAGAACATTTAAACAGCTCTGGATTTTCTTTACCCGGAGAGAGTTGCAAACTTTGTAAATCGGCTTGTGTGGTTTGAACTATCCCATCTGAATCTTTCCTCAAAACTCCCACCCCCAGAAAGGAACAGGTTAATGGATCGGTACCATAGATCTTCTAGGGGATTTTTATTTTTTTCCTTTTGGGTTGCTTAATTGCCTTTTTAATAGTCTGCCGGGGTTTTGTTTCTCGGAAGTGTAATATGAAAGTTCATTTTTCTCCTGCCAGACCCACCCACTGAAAAATCAGCTTTCCACTTGATTGCTAGTTTTGATTTGACATTTGATTGATCACCTGTCATCTCGCTGCCTTTGATCTATTCATTCTTGATATATATCAATAAATCACTCACCATGGTAACTCAGAGTGCCAGTGACGCAAGCCTTGCCCTCTGGATTCAGAGCCAGACATGCACAATTATTATCTTGTTTGGCTTTTAATGTGGGCGTTTTTATTTCTTTGTGTCCTTTAGTTGAATCAGGGATTTAGCGAAAAGCTTAAGTTTATTTTTTTTCTCTCCTTTCTTGCTCTGTCTGTCTTCATCCTCTTGCTTCAGGCAGCCTCAGCTAAGTCTGCAGACCCACACAACAGTTTCATTCTGTTAGAACTTGAGCAAAACCCAGGGAGAAGCCCCGTGGAACACTTTAATAAACTTTGCAAAGTCACCCTTAGAACAAGTTAGTTGCAAATCTGGGGGAAGTGGGTGTTTGTGTCTCAATATGCTAGACCACCAAGCTTACTGCCCATCTCTGCCTGATTCCAGTCCAGGATGATAGTACATGTGCTTTGAAATATCCACAATTAAATTCTTCCCTTCTGAGCACAGAATTGCTGCCATAACCGTTTGTAGGTTGCTTCCAGTTGCATGTGGGAATATTTCTAAAGTTGTGATTCCTATATTTTCCAAGTGTTTGCCTAAGTGCAAAATAATGACATATTTTTTGTGCCATACATATTTGGATCTTGCCTAGTCAATGAGGTTTTTCTTCTTCGTCTCTGGCTACCACAGTAAAAACCGTTTCTCCCTCCTACCTCTGTCCCTTTCTGCATGAGATTCACTTATTTTTGAAAACTTAGATTGTGCTGCTATCTGGCAGCTTTGGGGTGTGACTGGCCTTCCAGACTCAGAAAGAGTAAGCTTGCTCTGTCTAGCTCTGGCAACGTAAATTTAAGTGTAGCTAGATTATTACAGATAACGTCCTTATTGTTGTCCCGAAAGACAGCCCTGGGCTACGGTCCAGCTATAGTGATACTGCCCTGAAAATTACTCTTTCATTTTTTTTTTTCCTTGTTGTTCCGGTAAAGGCCATCAACAAACTAGGCAGTAATTTAAATTACCAGAATGACTGGACGTGTCTCCTTTAGTAAGCTCATTACAAAAAGTGCATTGCTCAGAACTGCACGACTTTGATTATAATTACCCTCTGATCAGTGAGGATCCAGGTGTAGGTAACAGAATGCTGTCTCACGTTATTTAAATGAGACCCTTTTCATTAAGCTGGTAACTATGGGTGCTGGTTAATCTGTTTATGGTGTGTGTGTGTGTCAGAAACTTGTAACTGTAGTTTCAGTTTTCCGGCCTATTGTATTCCTAGTGTTTCTCTATGTTTGTGTTCCTGGCTCTTACTTTTTCCCACTGGAAGAAGTGGAAACCCTCGTCAAACTGGAAGGGGATAATTCATTTCACACGCAGCGAGTCCCCTCTTTAAGGTATTTATTTGCTCACATATTAATAAAGTAATTTTTTTGTTCATGCCATGTTTCTTCCACACATCTGAGGTCATCAGTGCCTTACTCTGTTTTAGCTGAGCTGGTTATTCACAAAGTAAAGTTAGCCACGTTGGGGCTCTTTAGCCAGTGAACATCCGGGGAAGGAAAAAAAAAAAGGGGGCGAGGGTTCTAAGATTGCGGACATACTAACATTAAACACAATGCACAAGGGTAAGTGATTACTCCCATGCACCGATGTTGAAAGCTTGATTTCTGGCTTGATTAGTGAATAATGTAAGATAGAACAAGGCTGCAAGTGAATCAGAGTTGAGGCTCTCCTGGACGCTCTTTCCCAAGAACTGTTCCATGGCAATTTGATCCCTTCGCATTATTAGTTTTACGTTCCATGTTTCAAGGAAACAGTTACAGGACTTCCTAATAAAGCAGGTATCCAAATAGAATAAATGGAATGATATTATAAATGATGGGCAATTTTCGTCTTTCTGGGTTGTATTCCTACCCCTTTTAGAGAGAGGGGATATGAGGTAGGCAATTCTCTTTAAGAAAACAGCGAAGTCAGAACGTTTCCCTCTGAAGTGTCATTCCCCCTGGCTTTCTAAAGCTAGGCTTTTTCACCATGCTATTACTTACTGTTAGGAAAAAAAAGTTTAAAAAGCAGCCTGCAGTACCCGAGGGGTTCGTGTATGTGGGAGTGTGTCTGTACGTGTGCGCTTGCTACCTTGCGTGTATATTTCACTTGCCAGGAAAATGCATCCACTTTTACCTGAAAATATTCCCGGATTCCGTAACAGCATCTTTCCCCCCTTATCCATTTTCGGGAGAGTAGAGAAGATGGCAGGAAGGCAAAATAAAAACAGAACAACAGAACAGTGTTTTGATTTGTTTGTATTTGGCAGGATGCAGAAGAGTTAAAAATATAAAATTATAGACATACATTCCAACACTACTATTTTCTATAATCTCCCTCAGCCTCTGTATGCACACACGTGTAATACATATTTTATTTTTATTTAATATAAAAACTATTGTTTTTGTATTAATGTCAGCGGAGAGCAACAGGACGCAAAACATTTTGTGATCATATACATGTGACTCTCTAATACAGATGTAAGTTCTATGATTCTGCCCCTGCCCACCCAAAGCGATGAGATGCTTCCTTCTTCCTGCTGACTCTCAGCAGCTATCTGATAATCCAGATCTGAGAAAAGTCTTGCAGGAAAGAAACAGCTCCCTCAATGTATTTTGTTTATTTAATATGGGGATGAATAATGCAGGTTTTGTTTTTATGAGTGTCCTTGTGAGGCAACAAACAGTAGACGATTAGCAATCGTTACTTAAAAGTTGCAATTTACACCTTAATAGCACAGGTTATTTACATGGGAAACATTCCGCAGGGACAGTTCTGAATACTGCAGTGAAGCAGAGATGACCTGAGAGACCTCTTTTCCTACCTCACAGTAGCGGTGACTCCGGATTAAAGGTTGAGATTTCTGCAGTCACTACTAGAAGGGCAGGGGAGGGGCAAGCAGCTGGGGGTGAAGTTTACTTTTAATTTACTGGCAAGTGGGACAGGATTCTAGAGACTAGGAATCAAGGTGGAGTCGGGACCCTAACTCTCACTTTGTTTAAACGTCCTTCAGAAAGACTGCTTCACATCTTTGAACTTCTAAATATCTCATGCTAGAGACCCCTTCACTTACTGAAGGGGTCACGAATGGAAAACACACACACACCAAACAGGCCCAGCCACATGAACTGTCCTGGCTGTTCTTGTTACCTAAGGTAGATCCTTGAAGAAGGAAGGACAGATCCTTGAAAGCGCTTCATCCACACAGTGTTCTGGATTGAAATTGACAGCTGAACAGGTCCTCTCCCTCTCCCCTCTGGATTTCCTTCTTCCACCTCTCACCTCACCCTTAAAGACCCAGATTGAATGGGACATCTCAAAAGCCCATTTGTTTTAGGCATTTATTGATTTAATTTTTAATCTGCCACATCAGGACACAATACATTAACCCTAATCAGCAGATTGCAAGTAACAGGGAGTTCTGCTAGAGCTAGGTACGGGAGAGGGGGCTCGGGGAAACTTCTTGACAGTGACAGTGTTCTCTGGGGCTTGGGGTCCGGGAGTTGGTGGCTCCTTTCGGAGAGGGTAGAAACACTCCTCCTTTCTGAATACTAAGCATTTCTTTTTCTACCACTTTACATTTATTTTTTTCTCCCGGTCACCTCGATTCTATTGTTCCCTTTTGGGAAACCTTCGCACCCAGCAAATACCTCCTAGGCGTCTTTAGCAGATCTGTCCCTGGGAGCATCTTGCCTTTTGTCACACTCTGTAAGGAGGCTCATGCTTTCATTTTATCCCAGCTGACTTCTCACTCATTTGACGGAATTTCTCCAACTGTGTGATACCTGGGTTGATCTATTTCTCTTCCCTGTGGCTGGGGGAGTATGCTCTCAATTAAGCAGGCTTTAAAGGGGGTCAGAGCCTGGCATTATTGAAGGCCACCGAAACCATGCACCTCTGCTCCTCCCTGGAGCTGAGCTTAGGAAAATCAGCCAAGAAGAAAGCCTAGGCCCCACTCATGTT